AGCTTAGTACTTAGAATATAATTGCCTTAAACATATGCCTTACTTGTTTTATTAGCAATGAGAGTTCTTAATATATCGGGTACTATCATGACTTAGGAACTTAGACTCAGTCTTTTAGAAACTCTTTATAAGTCTTGGAGTATGAAGTTAATAAACTTTGCCTTATAGACTCCTTGAAAATATTACTATACACCCTTAAAAGTTTTTAATGACTATAATTTGAATGAAAAGAATATTTATAATGTATAGAAATATATATTTGATGTTGAAGATAATTTCTATATAAAGAGATTAAAATGTTTAGGAAATTTTAATTGAGACCTAATTCCAATGTTTTGATACTTTTCATTACATATAGAAGCTAATTTAGAATATACTCATAATTTGTTGACAACGCCATCTAGTCAAAGTTGGTAGAACTATATGAAAACAAATTTGTCATACCTTAAAGACCGACACCTTTATTTTATTTATTTATTTGTAATAATTTTAAAATATATGTATATTGATATAGGTCATTTTAATTTATACAGTATATAATTTTTATATGATACTATATATAAAATTTATTCGACTTACAGAGCCATCTAGTGGGGAGTAAAAGAACTATTACTCAATGTATTTTGACATTTGAATTTAAGTAACTTATTGTAATTAACGTAATATTTGTCTTTCCTTTTGTAAGAAAAAACAAATTATTGTATATTGCACCAGGAAAGAATATCAAGTCCTTATAAAATAAAAAATAACTTGTATGTAGACAAAACGTATATAAAAAAAGTTGAAATGTTATTTTTACGTGAGTTGTGAATGGGTTGATGTAAAATGAGACTAAAAAACCTCGTAAGATCGTTCTGTATAGTTCATTTGTACAATTAATTATTATTTTTTTCATTTTTATTTAAAAAATCGATTAAGTCAGCTGCATAAATTACTATAACTTAACTTTTTGTTTTTGTATATTTAAATATTTCTTTGAGTACATTGTTTTTTATGATCAAGTCAAATTTATACATATATATTGAATAAACCTCTTAGCATTCAATATATTCACCGTGCGGCTAAAGTCTGATTTTAATGAGTGCACTGATTGGAATAGAAAATAATAAAATTAAATTCTATATCCAGTATCTATGAGTTTATATTAATAAATACAAAATGATTGACCCAAGTCAATATTACATACTTATTTACAAAATAATACCAATACGAAATAATGACACACTAAAGCGAGAAAAGCCGTCGGTAAAAGCTAGTTATTGGATATACAAGAGAAATGTATATGCAAATAGCGTTTTAAATATATAGATAAATATATTTGGAAAGTTGTTCTAGACAATCAAACAAAGTAAGATATATCCCTACTAATATTACAAATGCGAAAGAAACTCTGTCTGTCTGTCTGTTACGCTTTCACGCCTAAACCACTGAACTGGTTTTAATGAAATTTGGTACAGAGATAGATTTGAACTTGAGAAAGAACATAGGATAGTTTTTATCCCAGACTATTGAAAGGTTCTCTTGGAAACGCGATATAACCGAACTCGACGCGGGCGAAGCTGCGGGCGGAATGCTAGTATAGTTAAATATTTGTACATTAGTTGTTACCTCAATATAATTTCTATACGATCTAACACATCGTGTTCTATATAACGTACAGTCCTATCACTCCAGAACACACCAGAATGAATCTGACGATACACGAGGAACAGAAACTTGGAGCATCAGAGTATCACAGATGGTCCATGGAGTGTGAGGGAACGTGTGGCCTTACTACGAGTGTTACAGACACACTGCTGACTACATACTGAACGTGTGGAATATTACATACGTACGACTACGATAATACTGACACGTGTGAAGTATTAATGAAGGAAAAACTTTAGGTATATACTTATACTCGTGGAAAGCGTACATTACTTATTGACGTAAAATATCGTCTTTTCAAAGTATTCACTATTGTGGAAATAAAAATATTAGTATATTTATTATTCTTAAGATTTTTTTTTGAAGATTTAAAGAAAATTACATAAGGATGGGATGTGGGCGTTTCAATCTCGTCTTCAGATGATCAGGGCTTATAAAAGCTAACAATATATGATAAAATTTAAATAACATTAAATTCAATTATAAAAATGCGGGTAAATTTTAAACAAAAATATAAAATATGCAACAAAAATTTTAATCTATAATGTTTGTAGACTTGAGCTATAAAAATGAAAAACATTATCAAAATCAGTACAGCTGTATCAGTGGAAATATTTCAAGTATAACTTTGCATTCAAATCACGTTGTGGTTTTATTTTTGGTCTTTGACAGCAGAAATTTTCACGATTTCGTTGATTGCTTATTCGTAAGTGAGCATCTTATGCCATTGTACTTGGACTACGGCTTACCAATACAGTTAAGAGTCTTAAAGTTTTTTAATAAACCCTTTAAATATAAAAAATACCTTGCGTATATATATATATATATATATATATATGTATAACCTTACCTCTATTTTATCAATATTTTCAAGTTTCGTGCATACTGCCATAAAAATAATTAATTAATTCCACTCGTGAAATACATATTCGATTTTATTGTCTGTTGTCTCGGAGATTGGTCACCCCTAAAATAACTTGCCCCTAAATATTGAAGTTTAATGACCTTTGATTAGATCACAGCTTTGTTTTGCGTATAGTATTTGTTATTTACATGCAATAATATTTAGAAGGTTAGTCTTGTATAAAGATTGAGAAATTATTTGTTTAAGTCATTGTAAAATACACGCGTCGTAATTTAACAGATTTCTATAAATATTAAGTTTGTACGTAGTAGAAGTAGGAGCGAGAGGTATAACAGCTAAATCTGTATAACCTACTAAAAGACTTGGGCCTGTCCAGAACTAACATCAATTCTTATAACGTACTTCGAAGGCAGCCCTAGTAGGTTCTTTTCAAATGTGGAGGCGAGCGTTTAACGCGCGTTAGACAGGGCCCTCTTAAACCTACACCTGGGTCACAAGTCCCAGTCATTGTTGAAGCTCCTCTCACTACAACGATGGACCTGAACCATGCATGGTGAATCCATTGAATGTTGAATTTTCGAATTATATCAGGCTATCCAAATTAGATTCAGAGTATGTAGAAGCTACTTAGTAGATTTTGATAGAATATAACTCTTAGACATCACGACAAGATATACATATAAAAAATTACGTTTAGGTAGTCACTGTCAGTTTGATTACTGAAATCCACGGACAAAGTCGCGGGTAAAAACTAGTTTAACAATAATAATCACATTTTATTTAAAGAATATATTTAATAAAGCTAAAATCCTTGATAATGTTTATGTATAAAACTCTTCAATGAATTCATCGTGACCAGTTCGTGTCATCCTTGACTGTATTTATTATTAAATTTATATTTTTCCTAATTCCAATATATTTAATTATCTTAATTATGTTTGTTCACGATTTTTATGACCTCGATATTTAATATTAATTGGTGACTCGTGTTGTGTTGATAAATATTATATGTATTAATTATAAAAAAATAGATTAAATTTATGAAAAATATACGCCAATAACGACATATGTATATTGTGTTATATTTTAAATACATATTAATTCTAAAAAACCGTTTCAGTTGAGCTTTGTTGTAAATCCAAATACGGGCAAACTGAACGTGTTACTTATTACCTATCGTATTTAGTTTAATTCAAACTCGTACTTAGGCTTATAATAAAATTTATAGTCAAATCTAAAACACATTTTTTTCTTGTTATTACTTTTTCCATGCTTTCATAATGAATCGAATTTGTAACAGTCCTTTAATTATACATACATAATTTGTTATTATAATGACCAATATAAAGTTATTTTTAAATAATTGGACTTATGTATTGGTTGCAATTAACGGAGAATAAAAAATTAGGCTTATTTTGTGAATTAGATAAAAGTGTAAGTACGTACGTAAAAATCAACCATTGCAATGGACTAGTCACTTTGAAGTAGTGTTAGGGCTTAGATTGAACCTAGGAGAATATTGGTTTCAAACTTTAATTACTATTCAGCGAATTGTTTATTTGAGTGAAGCAAACCAAGCGAGAGGAAAGCTATACTGGCCACTCGAGTCATTTATCCAAAGAGATGATCTCGCCAACCAAATGTTCTATAAAGTCGAGGGTTTATTGTTCGATAGTCCACGTATCAGGGGTAGTTTTTATCGAAAAAACATTTAGATTAGACTATCAATTTCAATTTTAAAGCCGGAATACGAAACTCATGTACAAAATAAACGGCTCGCTATCGTAACGCTTAAGTTTCTTCAATCAGCTAGTATCAAAAGCTTTTTTCCAGCGAAGCGATAGTATTAATTTTATTTCAATTTATACTGTTTGTTTCTTTAGTCGTTAATTAAGTGTTTTCTTGATTAATTCACCTTAAAGCACTCTTCAAGAATCATTGTCGGTCTTATTATAGTGCGTTTGATTTAAGCTTAGCTTTGCATTTGTGTGAGTGTACACATCCGTGTAGGTGTGATGTCAAACTTTTGAAAGATAATTTCTTTTCTAATTTTTTAACTGGTTTATTCTGCTTTTACTCCGCCCCGCACCTTCCTCACTTCACCTTTTGTACTGGTAGTAAAATCAAATATTGAAAACGCAATGTCAAGTGTACAAGAATTTTGTATAGTTTTTTCAAAATTATAATTAATCAATAATTTTTTTTCCATAATATTAATAATATTTACATCTGGCCTTTTACAAGTTTTGCTTATTATATAGCACTTATGTTATTTAATTCTAAAAGTTTTTTGTCTAATTTACTTTTACTTTCACTCACACAAATGCAAAGCTCAGTTTAAGTCTAACGGACTATACTGAATATGAACCATTTCAGTGCAATATATTTGTATGTCTAGTTATCTAAGGTTTATCTTAAGTGCTACAGGTACTGATAATTATTATTATCTTTTCAGAGGCAGCGGGTGATATTCTGTGGAGGGTAAGTGATGTCGGTCCTCGGGGCCGGGGGGGTCCTCCGTCGGTCACACGCGGCAGGCCTCGCAGGCCTCGCCGCCCTATTACTATTATTACTAGCGACGCGGGCCCCCGTCCCTCCCCCTCCCCAACCTAGGCCTCTCCGCCTCCCCACTCCTTCCTCCACACATATCGATAAACAGCCCCACTCTCAAACATCCCCAGCCCCATCCGAGGCCTCCTCTCATCCATCCCCAAAAACCACCAAAAGCGTCAATACCACTGGGGTAGTATTAGTCCGGGATGTCTACGAAGCGGGTCATGAGCGACCCCATCCTGAACTCTGTCCTTCTTTAGGAGCGAAGTTGAGATTACTTATACTAGTAACATCAGCTCCCTCCCATTCTTCCGCGAGGGATGCTGTAAGGTTGACGTGGGGTCATTACGCGGCGAGGAAGGATATAGCGCTGGCGTTCGTACTTGGAGCTCCGCCGGCGTCTCTTCGAGCGGCTGTGGAGGCAGAAGATGCTTTATACGGCGACTTGATAGTTGGCCGATCTATAGACTCATATTCGAATCTCACTCTCAAAACGATCTCGATGCTAGAATGGGCGGACACATACTGCCCACGAGCTCCAAGACTCCTTAAGACAGATGACGACATGTTCATCAACATACCTCGTCTACTATCCTTCACGGCGGCTAGAGCGAACGCTACTAAAACTATATGGGGGAAGGTGGTCAAAAAATCGCTGCCCAAACGGACGACCAAGTCCAAATATTACGTGTCGCCTTTACAATTCCCGGGGCGGGTATTCCCCGATTTCGCGACCGGCCCGGCCTATTTACTAACAGCTGATGCTGCAAGACTCCTATTAGCTGCGGCGCCATCTGAGAGGTACCTGCGCTTGGAAGATGTTTTCATCACTGGCGTATTAGCCGCTAAGCTCGGTCTAGCTCGCTCACATGCTGCCGAGTTCTATAATAAGAAGGTCGCGCCACATCCGTGCGCGGTACAAAGAGGGATAGCCATACATATGGTGCAATATCACGAACAATTCGATCTATGGCGTAAACTGCTCGATGGTAAGACGAAGTGCAGATAACTGGCCCAGATTCGGCCAACATCGGCAAACATCGGACAACATCGGCAAACATCGGCAAACATCGGCCAACATCTACATTATTTTTGTACTCTATTTTTATTTAAACGAATAAACAATTTTTTTTATAGTTCGATACAAAATGCCATAAATGTTCTGTGGATTATTTTCTACGATTCTGTAGAACGTAAAGATTTTTTAAGTCGAACGGACTCTAGTGTGGGTAGTTCGGGAATACTCAACCTGGTTTTTTTTGTATTGCTTTTGCATATTTATTGACAAAATCTATATTATTTCCTAGTATAATTACGATTTATATGGATCGAATGTATATAAGCAATCTTAAATCACTACACTTATGCATCTGTTTTCATTGTTACATGAAATCGGTTCAAATTCGCTTATTCTTATTCAGTACATTACTGGATCTATTGATTTTTTCAAACATTATGCTGACTCCTGTCTTTGCTCATCTCATCTTCAAAGATCACAATAATCCAACTCGCTAAGAAGCTGCCGTATACTTTATTATATAAACTATTTTTATATTGTCCTAAGTTTTAAAGTTAGAAGAAAGTTATTCTCTGACATAGCTCTCTTAAGTTACTTCCATTTATTCGCTGCCTAACACTGCTATATTATGAGTTTCACTTTAAATTATTCTTCAATTTATCAGAATGATGGGACAATGCATTAAATTCATTCTCATTTCATCTCCCCAATACTTTTCTCTTTTTTTATTACAAGACCAAAATCAAAACTAGCTTTCTTAACATTCCTATCACATCTCAATTTATATGCGAAATATAGAATTCTCCACATTATAGGGAATTTTCTATGTATAAACAATTTAAAAACTTCGACAACCTTCACTCATGAACATATAATTTTATAAATTTTTTGGTACAATATATATTGTATTAAGTACATAAATGTACTATATGGTACAAATGTATGACACTAGGTAAGGATTAGTATAATTTGAGCCGCTGTTCGATCGGCTGAGCCGAAAACGATGGTGCTCGTGAACGAAAGGCGGCTCAAAACTTCGCTCTATACGGAGTGGGTATATCACAAGTAAAGCAATAACACGTACAGAGCGACGTAAAACTCGTATAAGTTGTAGAATCTCAATATATATGTGACTTTATAGTTATGTTATAATGTATTGTACACGATTTATAAATACATGGCTCGTATGTTGTAAATAAACAGCTGAATATACTCTTATGTACAACACTGTGGTTTGATTTGATACCCTCAAATAATAGGCCTTGAAATTATTAAGAAATTTGTGAAGAATATAATTTAATTTCATTTAATTATATAAAAGATGCATTTAGTCAATACAAAAAACAACTGTAAGTAAAAAATATGAAAAAAATTAATATCATTGATGAAATTGTATAATATAAATGTAAAAACTTAATTTGGATTTTGATTTCCATATAATGATTATATGAACCTAAAATTCTTTGTAACTTTTGTCTTAATAATTCTGTCTTTCTTCAAGTTTGAGTCAAAACATTTTATAAGTGGTCATAGTAATGACAACAATTGTATTAAACTCAGAATTAATATTTCAATACAAGTTGGTTTGTTTGTCAATTTGATGTTCTAATTGCTGAACCGATTTTGGTAAAATAACACATTAGTATAGTCATAATTTAGGAAATCGTAGCAAATCTTCATTCAGATACTTTATTTCCTATAATACATATATATTTAATACCGGTTCGATTTAATGGTTAGATAGGGTCCCTTAAACCTACACCTGGGTCACAAGTTCCAGTCACTGTTGAAGCTCCTCTTACTACAACTATGGACCCGACACACGCACTGTGGATACATTGAATGATGAGAAGTCTCGTCTCAAGAGCCAATTCTACTAACTAAAAATATTAAGTATGAACACAATAAGGGAAAAATTATTAAATTTGTAAAAGAAAATTCAAATATTTATAAAGTTTTGGAGAGTCAAATGTTATAACAAAACAATACTCATAGCGCACACAGTATAGAAAAATCTAAAGTACTTTTGTTAAGAAACAAAATAGTTTTGAATATATTATTTTAAAGTATTTCAAAAAGATGTAATTTAGAAGTCTACTATTGTCCAATAAATTGTGCTGTTTAAGAGTTTGCAAATAATCTGTATTATTATCTAAAATCTAATCTTAAATAATTAAAAATATTCAAGTGTTTGTCTGCATAGTCAATTATTTTGCATTTAAAATTTTTGAAAGCGCCATCTATATTCCGTGAATAAAACTGCGTAGCTGTAATGGTTTCATAAAATAAGATGTTCAATGTATCCTTTTGAGAATAAGGAACTAATAAAAATTGTAAAATAACTGAATTTTGATATTAAATATTTCATAAAAAGTAAATAATAGATGTAACAATCTACCAACGCCAATACTTATAAAATCATCCAAATGTGATTTGAGGCTTCAACAACAGATGGCGCTGTTTTAAAAAGTCTTTATTACTTTGTGAGGTTCATTTTTATAACAACAAAAAACAATATATATAATTAATTATAATAATAAACTTTTATTGATTAAAAGATTACACCACTACAAAAAAAACAATAACGATAAGTATGCAGCAGTGTAATCTAACCAAAAGGAAAACCACTCAGTGAAAAATAGAAGCAATGTTGCTTCTACACTGATTTTCAGTGATTAATGTAATTAATGAATAAGTAACATTATATGCTACACGTAATAAAATGAATATAACAAACTTGATGCTAACAAATATTATAGATTTGAAGGGTAACAGATGGTAATTTAAATATATTTTTAAATTATATATTTTTTAACTAAAAATTGTTAAAAATAATCAATAGTTACACAAATTTAATAAATGTTTATATAAACCTGATATTAATACTTATTTATATACCTAAGAGACTTCGAAATTAACTTAATATATTTTGTAAACGTGGCAAAGGATAAAATGTAAAAATATGACTTTCACGGGTCTAAATGATTGGTGAGGTAAAAAGGGTTTTGGAATACGGTCAAGGGAAATAATATTTGGGATAAATGGCTTTACTTCTTTTTAGGAAACCTTGATTTTCGGGTTTGTATTTCTTGAGACGTTTCAAATGTTCTCATAGATCAATACGTAATTGTAATATAAGGAATAAATATAAAACGACGTGACGATAAAAAATAAAATTATTATTTCCATGTAAAAGATTTCATCTGGATATATTTTCTAATGATTCTAATGTTTACGAGCTAAATATGAAAATTTTGAAACTTTAAATCGGCCATTCCAAGACTGATATGTCATCAATTTTAGTAAACAGATTCTTTATTGAACAAGGAGCCAACGAATGACGTGGTAACTGTCTAGTAATGAAAAACAACTATACTTTATTTTTAAAGTGTTGCCAATATTGTGAGTAAAAGTAAGTATGTAGTAAGTATTATGGTAAAACATACTATGGACCTGCGGATCAAATTTTAACAATTATTAGAAATAATTATAATGTTGTTGCTCGAAGGCTCGAAAGTTGAAGGAAGTTTTGAAAGAAAGTTGATGTTTCGAAAGTTTTTCTTAAAGAACGTAATCAACAATATGATTATGTATACTTCTATCTATATCTTTTAATCCAATTTGGATTAAGAGGTTCATAAAAGAAAGAAAAATGTCTAGTATAATGTTCATTTTTTCAGTATTTTTGAACTAGAACTATAAAAATAAATTAAAGGTTGTTAATAGTGGACTCCTATGTATAATTTTCTAGTAAATATTTGAATTTATAATATCATTTGACATTGCTAATAGAAGGATTACCGGTTTAGAGTGGAAATATATCTGAATCATCTAATATTGGATATAAAAGTAATATGAATTGTTATATGGTGTGAGTACCGATTAGGGAAATGCTAGTATTTTTAATTGAGGACGATTAAGGAATCCAATTCATTTGGAAGGATTCACTTGGAAGACGCGCTGGTTCAAAGAGTAAGCTCTATACAATACACAACACTCGTATTTCGATCTTTTATATAAATCTTTTATATTCCTTTTGCAAGACCACCAGTAATTTATATAAATAATAATAACGAATTTATTCACTATTTCAAAGTAAAATGGGTCTGCTGAGATAGTTCACTTCTTTTAATAAATAGATTCTACAAATATTTCTAATGAAAAATGAACTTCTGGTACCATGTGGCTCTCTTCTCTTAAAGAGGAATATGCGGCTTTTAATTATGAACCTTAGATTATACTTGAGGTAGGGTAAGCAGAACATGATTGAAAAAGAAAACAATTTTCATCATTTCCTTCTATAAAACATTGATAAACTTTCGCAAGAATTCATTTAATTTAAACGAATATTTTTGGATTACTACGCGTAATTTATTATTTTTAACGAGCAGACGAGATGTCTGCCGCGATCACGGTTGCTGCAAAGTAACCAAAACGTCGGGAGTATGTTGTTAAAAATAATTATAAACGCTCAGTAAATCCGAAAAATATTAGTTTTATTTCAATAAATACTCTCGAAAGACTTAGATCTCATTATGTGAATCCGTAGATTGCCATGTTTGTTGTAAAAATCACTCACTTTTGAAAGAAAAATGATTCCTGGGCAGTATATTTCAAGTTCTACCTTATTAATGGCTATGGCATTACTTGCAAGACTCCTCAGTTGAAGTGAAATACGAGGAAAAAGATTTAAACAAGGTCACTTAATCCGATGTCAGTTGTGGCCTAGTAGTTAAAGGGTCCGCCTCTTGTACACGAGGGCGCGGGTTCGATCCTGTCAAGTACCAATGTGATTTTTCCGAGTCATAAGTACTTTCTAAGAGCCTTTAGACACCGCTAAAAGACGGTGAAGGAAAACATCGTGAGAGAACCTGGACTTATAATTTCACAATTATAAGTCTGAAATCACCAACCCGTCTTGAGCAAGCGTGGTAATTAATGCTCAAACCTTTTCCTAGTGAGAAAGAGGCCTTTGCTCAGTGGTGGGCTCT